GGGAAACTACAAACCCTGCTAAATCATCCGAGGCGACGCGGCCCGAAGCCCAGCCCGTGTGGCCGCCGTCCAGCCAGGGCGATGGCGCGGCTCCCCGGGCTGCCGGCGAAATAATTCTCCTGAGTTGGTACTCGCTAATTTTTAAGGTGCCTTTTTTTGTAGTCCGGTGGGCGACGAGGGCTGGTACCGCAGCGCTGGGTTTGTGTCGGTGGGGTTTCTCCAGTCCTGAAGATTCAAATCGCTGCCTCTTTCTGTCCTCCAGCCACTGACCTTCCCCTCAGACCAGAAGGCCCCGTAGTTAAAGCACTGTTACTACATTTCCTTTAAAATCTGGAGCATTTGGTAATAATTCTCCATGCTATATAATTTATCTAACGTACAATGTATCTCCTTACCTTTTACGTTCTGCGTTTCCTGGAATCCAAGATCCACGCGTTGTTGTAATTTAACCATTGGCCACCATTAGCTAGTAGGGTATAATTAGCAAACATCAGTTTTAAAAGGGAGTTTTCAATGATCTTTCATTAATTGAAAAATAATTCCATATCCCCAAGAGCTGGGTTTGTTTCAGTTAAATCAGCATCACATCAGAACAAAGATTTCTCCTGCAAAGTTTGAATAAACAAGCCTGGTTCTGCTCTTTTTGAGAGAGAAGACAGGCTGCAGTGCCATTTAAAATGGACATGCAAAGCACTTTGCAATGCACAAAGTTGCAAAAGCTTAACTAAAATTGGTTTTAGGCAGCTTTACATCAGTGTAGTTGACAACCGTAAGGAATTATGGAGGCAGGATAAAGGAATGTATGGAGCGATTACCTAAGTAGGAGTCTTCAGCCAGGAAAAGAGGAGCCGCACAGAGCAGGGAGTGATCGCTCCCCGTTTCTTCTGATGCAAGAAGAGGCATCAAGTGAAACGAGGTGGGGCAGGCTCAAAATGAAAGCCCTTGTTTTGTCATGCCGCGTAATTAAGCTGAGGAACTCTTTGCCACAGAACGTTTATGGGAGCCAAATTTCAGAGTTAAGATTTTTCGATGGCAGAAAGATCACAAAGGCTTATTTGATGCTTTCTAGTGTGACTGCTGGGTGCTTCTTCTAAAATTGTCCGTCAGATCTGTGGGAAGTGAAGGTACAAGAGCTGATTCTGTGAAGACACAATAGAAACAAAACACACACAAAAAATGAGATCAGAATAAGAAAGGAGTTTCACCATTTGTCCTTTTTTGCATATCCGCTGAGGCTTTTAATATCTGTATATGGCTGAATTGTATTCAAATTAACCAAGACCAATTGTATTCAATTAATTCAAGACCACTCGCCTCATGTCAAAGGGGGAACGTGAAATAACAGTGTTGGGTTTCGGGGGTGTTTTGTTAATATTATGAATTCTTGCTTTAGTTAATTCAATCCAAGGCTATACCGGCAGTGGGGCCTGAGACAGATTTATCTGTGGAGCCGGTCACCGTTGCAAAAGACTTCCAGCTTCAGTCGGGGAAGACTTCTGTCCAACCAAAAGTGATTTTGTTATTTTTGCAAAAAAGGAGACGTATTCTCTTGAAAATCACAGGTTTCCCGGAGCCTATCAGATATTCAGGTTATAGTCTGGCAGCCTTGTCCTCTTGCCTGTTAACCTCAACAGCTAATAATGTGGAAAGAACAGAGAAAATACAAAATTAGGGTGTTCTCTATAGCTTCAAGTATGAGGTTGGAAGATTATTTTCTCCTCTTTGTGGTACAGAACGAAGACATGAAAATCAGACACGCGTGCCTTTTGTACTAGCTGTTCCGTTTAGCTATTGCCGTGATTGTCACGACAATGATTTTTGGTTTTCCCTTTTATTACGGAAGCAGTTTGTACAATTTGTAAAGGAAGAGACGTGGGGCTAGAGGGCTTTTTCATTTGCTCGCTTCCAAAAAAAAGGAAAAAAATCGCTTTAATGATGATTAAACCAGTAATACAATAATGAGTTCTAAGAAGAACCTGGCTCTACCTCCCCTATAACCTCCCACTAAGAAATTGAAAACAGCAAAAAGATCTCTCCCTTTTCCTTCCCTTTTAAGACTGAACAAACCCCGCTCTTTTGGTCTCTCCTCATCTTCCATCTGCTCTCCACCCTCCATCCGCTCCAACTTTTTAATCATCTTGGTGGCCCTTGACTGGAATTGCCCGAGCGTGTTGATGTAGTATACTGGGGAGCTCAACACTGCTGGTTTCGTTCTGTGTCTTGGTAATACTTCTCCAAAGTCAACTGTTATAAATAGAAAATAACTGGCATGGTTGCTAAAAATGAACGTGGTGCTTTTTTATTCTGGCTTGTTGTTACTGAAGAACACTGTCGACATAAGCTCTAGAAAATATCCAATAATCCCTAAATCCAAATACAGGATTTGCTGTCCGTTGGTTTTGGACATTGGATTTTCACGTCTTGGTGGTAGCGGTGGGGTGGACAGACTGCAGTCAGTAGCTCCCAGCTCCTCAAAACCTGTGAGAGCATCAGTAGCAATACTGGGATGAAAAAGCAGAGGAGCGGTTACGGAGAGCAACCTCGGCTTTCGGGTGGGACACAGAGAGGGACCCGCGTGATCGTCTCCTTAGTGCTCAGCGTACTTGCCCAGGGGAGGTTGTGGGAATGGTCAGCATGGTCACTGGGGGGGAAGCAGCCCACCAGCGTGACCCAGATCCTTGTCGCGTTATACGGACATGCAGCGGCCCTTCTTTCCCTTGGGCATCGTAGGTCAGGGCCATATTCACCCTCACCAGAAAAAAATAATTGCCATCTATCCAAACAACACCTCTCCGTCTTTTTTGTGTGTACCGTGGGCCCCGTATCTGTCGTAAGGGGCTCGGGCAAAATGATCGACCATTTCAGGCCAAAGTGATTTTTTTAAACATTGTTAATAAAGGAGAACTCCAGATCCAGTGTTATGGCCATATTTATTACTCCCTTCCTGTTGTTAAAATAGAATTGTGTAATGTTTCTCAACAGGGCATTAAAAAAAAAAAAAAAGTCCCTCCTGCAAATCCAGAAGCCGTATTCCTGTGGAGATGCTGGTAATGCAGGAGCTTGATCTGGCAAGATAGGGCAATCAACCGTTTGAAATTCTTGGCACGTGAAAGCATGCGTTAGTAGTGTAAAATGTTTCCCACGTAGGAAAATATTAATTAAAGGAAGTGATTTTTTTATTCTGGGGAAGCTTTGGTACCAGGATTATTGAATTAAGAACAACGTAATAGTACTGAATAGATCTCCATCCAGAGGTGCTTGGCCCCGTGGGGGCACAGCCACCGCAAAGGTACAAGCTCGTTCCTGACTGCCTTGTCTTCTCCGCAGATGTCTCTCCAGTTGTGGCAGGCCTCATTGGTGCTACTGTCCTTGTGGTTTCTGTCTCAGTAACAGTTTTTGTGTGGACATGCTGTCACCAGCAAGCAGAAAAGAAGCACAAAACCCCACCGTATAAATTCATTCACATGTTGAAAGGCATCAGTATCTATCCGGAGACCTTGAGTAACAAGAAGAAAATTAACCGAATCCGGAGAGACAAGAATGGCACTCCTAAGGAGACTGGAAGGGGAAACCTCTTGGTGGATGCTGCTGAATCTGGTTTAATAGGCTCCGAGAAGGCTCCAGATGGGCCAAATGCAGCCCCCCACGTCGACCAGCTCCCAATAAAAGTAGATTATGGAGATGAACTAAGTCCAGATCAAAGCCTCACTCCAGGAGGAAGTAAAACCTCCTCCCCATCCTCTCCAGGGGACGACGTCATGTTGGGTGAACTGACTTTCTCGGTGGACTACAACTTCCCTAAAAAAGCGCTGGTAGTTACCATTCAGGAGGCTCACGGGCTGCCAGTGATGGATGAGCACACTCAGAGCTCTGACCCGTACATCAAGATGACAATTCTTCCAGATAAAAGGCATCGAGTGAAGACTCGTGTACTTCGCAAGACGCTGGACCCGGTCTTTGATGAAACCTTCACCTTCTACGGGATCCCATACAGCCAGCTCCAGGATTTGGTGCTTCACTTCCTCGTGTTGAGCTTTGATCGCTTTTCTCGAGATGATGTTATTGGCGAGGTCATGGTGCCCCTTGCAGGGGTGGATCCAAGCACCGGAAAGGTTCAGCTGACCAGGGAGATCCTCAAAAGGAACATACAAGTAAGTTGCTTCACGTAGTGTGACACAAGGCTCCTTGCGTTGTGTTTGATCCGGGAGCCTCTGTGGTCTAATAAGCAGGAATACTGCAAATCCTTAGTCATGAAACCCATTTTTCCGCAGATAGATATTGGTATTGTAAGGCTGTGCTCTTTTAGTTAGGCAGCTCTGTGCTGTGTGGTTATGGCGATTTGATAAGGCAGAGTCACTATTTAGGCATAGAAATGATGAATGCGGTAACTGATGATGCCAAGAAAAAAGGCAAAGTCCCCCTCTCCAAGTAGAAGAGCTGATGTGATAACGGGACGTTCGTCAGTGCCCGGCCTTCCTGCCCGTAGGGTGGCAGGGGGGGTTAGATAAGGGTGCTCTGAATAAGTTTTATACGGATTCTGAGTAACGACATATTCTGTTCTGCAAAGACAAACCTCACTTAGGGAGATTCGCCTGTTCTGCCCATTTTAGACACCTATGCTTGTAATTATCTCCATCTGAATTTGTTACTGCGAGCCGTAAGTAAGTGGGAATACATCAACACAGCGGAGTCTGACGTGATTCCTCTTGCCCTGGAGCAGATCTCTAAATCAGCTCAGATGAATCCCACCCTAGATGACTCTGTTTTTTTCTCACTTGAGAACAAAGTGTGTCTAAGATGGTTTTGTCAAATGTCAAATCTAAGATTTAGGTGAAATGAATCCCACTCTTAGCGTCTACTGCTGGGAACTAGACAGACGAGCAATCCATGTAAGATATGAAGGCTTACATTAGGGAAGATGTCTTCTGTCCTCAGAAAATACACTGTGCTCAAGTCGGAGGATGAGGTGGTTCTCAAGATTTTTATTTTCTTGCTTAGTTTATTTCTGTGACCCATCCTCCAGGTTCAATAGAAAATGGCATTTGGGCTCACTTACTGCCTTAACGTGTTGGAAATTGTTGCTGGGCTCTATAAAATACTTCATCACGTCCTAGAGTGGCAGAATTTTACTTGAAAAGTTTTTTCTACTATATGGGACATGTAACATTAGTTATGTAAAGGATACTCTGTGGCAACGACCCAAACCAAACCAAACGAATGCCACCAAAACCGGAGTCCTGGTGATTACTTTGTTTTTCTTAGGTTCTTGGGATGCTTCACATTATGATCAAACAAGTGACTGGTTTAGGTTCTTTTAACAGTTTTCTTTTCAGTGCGTTGACCGCGTCTCTTAGAAGTAATAGATTAAAAATAGAGGAAAAGGGTCACGCTAAATAAAAATAGATTTAATCAAGGATGCAAATTATTTAACATTTATTAGTAATCGGAAATAAATTTACCTTAGTGTCAGGTGTGCATTCTTGAGAATCTGCATAGTTACACAACGTCAAAACAGCCGTTACTGAACAAAGTTTTCAATGTCAGGAGGTTTCAAAATCTGGAATACAGAATCGCATTTAAACCCCAGTAAATTATTGCACTGATCCAAGCCAGTGAAGGTGTACATCCCATCCTAATGAACATTCCCAATCATTTCTAGCAATCTAACAATGCAAATTACTTTGCAGTAACTGCATTAAATTACTTCAGACCAAAAGAACCCCAAACCCTAACAACATACACGCCCCCAATACCCTCTCTGGCCGTTGCATTCTGGTGTATCCAACGAGCCAAAGTTCTCAACATTCCCCTTCTGGGGCCAGGAACTTGCTCATGTACTTGCTCTCCTCCCAAAATTTTGCATGAGCACGAACGGGCTTCATTCCTTGCATCTGGAAAACTTGTCTTAAAATTAAACACACGGGAACTGCTCAAATAAAAAGAAAGCACCAAAATTATAATGAACATTTTCCGTGTTTACGTTTACACGCACAATTCTTCCCTGCTAAACTGAGCAACAGCAGTTGAAAGAACACCTTCACCTCTTGGGCGATCACCAGAGCAGTTAGTGTGACATTTAGTGCTTTACCAGCTTGAAGTGAGAAAAATTCCTTCATTGGGGGACCCCCAACACCCTTTGCTCTGCAGGGTTAACAGTACCGGCCACCGATGGGGCAGGAGGAGGGCAGGGTGCTGCCAGGCCAAACTGTCAGCGGGCAGCTGTCGGAGCTGTTGCAACAGCTCTGCTATCACTGACACCACACGATTTCGTACCCTTTGCTAACGCTGTTTGCCTTGATAGCAAATACATTTAATCTCAATTAGTGCCATCTCAATGAAAGTTAATGAATGCCATCTGGAAACCAAACCTAATTATTTTGATATTATATTACTCTTCGAAAGGATGTACAGCAAGTTTAACCGAGTAGATCTGCTTTTATCTTCATCCTTTACCTTTGCAGACTAAACTGATGGTGGAACTGTCAAAGCACACCTAAAGAGCTTGAGGTGCTCGGCCATCGGAGCTCCACCAAAAGTCCGTGAAACTTAAGCTCCCGAAACCCACAGGCGCCTCTGGTAGCAGACTCAGAAGGCAGCCAGAGCCGCTCTTCTCTCGGAAGGTGCCCACCAGGTTTGCCCTGAGGGGGACGCAGAACCCCAGGGGAGCGGCTGTAGGGATGCTCGCTGTGCTCAACAGGCGTAGGGTGAACAGCAGAGGAGGATTTACATTACGCCACTCGCTTCTTCTCCCCGAGGCTCCCCCTGCCCGAGGCACCTAAAACGACCTGCAGCTGATTTTCCAACTTTCTAGGCATTTAGCACAGGGAAAGGAAATTCTGGTGACCTCCAATATTTGCCCCTTTTTATGAGACCCTCTTGTCCTAATAAGTTCTTTTTGTTTCTTTTTCACAGAAATGCATTAGCAGAGGGGAGCTGCAGGTCTCCTTGTCTTACCAGCCTGTGGCGCAGAGAATGACTGTCGTGGTGCTGAAAGCCAGACATTTGCCAAAGATGGACATCACTGGCCTCTCAGGTAGAAGCTATTTTCTCCAGCTCTAAATGCGTATTAAAAAATCTCCAAGTTCACTTTCAGATCTGTTCGCCTCTCTTATCTGAACATTTTCTTTGTCTGCATGCTTTTCCTCAAACACTTTCTAAGGGCGATGGGTCACCACGAGTGATCCATCACTCACCAACAGATGGTTATACAAACAAGACCAAATCCTTCCTACTGCGAGACCAACGGTTGCATCTTTCTGGCATCACCTGGTCTGTTTATGAAGACAGCATTTTCCAAATTCAGCAGATCTTCATGTGGCTTTTGGCCAGACAGTGCAGGCTCTGTGCTGCCGTGCCACTGTCGCCCATCATTGCCCTGAGCAGCGTTTTTTCCGCGGCACAACCGCTGCTTGCTACGTCTACCTCAAACCCTGCTCCTGGAAGAGGAGGGTAGAAGAGAGCGAGCGTAAAAAAGAGGAGGGATAGACTCAGAATAGAGAGGAGTAAATTCATATGACGTTAGAAACAATTTTTTCTTTTTTGTTGTTTTTGCTGGTTTTGTTTTTCTGTTATTTGAAGAGAGGAGCAGAGCAGCTGTTCTGGCTTTCCTGTTTCACAGTCACAGATTCTCAGACTCCTGAATCCCCTTAGCAAAGTTTTCTTCAGGATTATGGGAAAATGGTTGGAATCACCTTGAGAGTCACCAATAGCCTGGCTTATACCAGATTTACTCCTGTCTTTGTAGCTTTCTCCTGTACGCCTCAGAAAGAATGCAGACTAGGCTTAATTCTCTATCGTAGGCCTTAAATTTTACTCTTTCTTAAAAAAAAACAAACTTTCCATGTGTGGTCTGCAGCTACAGGATAAATTTTTTCGTAACTCTTCTTCTGCCTGCTGAATCTGGCAAGGCTAACGTCATTTCTTTATAGGATCTTTATATTATGCATAAGGTCATCATTTCAGTTGGATAAAAAAAGTGAAAATCAGCCAGTGTCAGCTGGGCAGGTGACTTCCAGCTTCAAAACTTGTGTTACATGGAAAAAAAGCACTGTGTGCCTGGTGTCTTCATTTTAGTCCTAAACAAGCATCCGCACGAAGAGCGAGCTGACCAATAAAATAACAAAGTGAGGCTGATGGTAAAGGCTGTGTTTTAAACTTTCTTCTTTTTCAGTACCTTCCATTATAAATGTTTTCTAGCTGCAGATTATTAAAACCATTCTGACACTTTGTTGGGCCATTTCCTGAAATAGGGTAACAATATTTGTTGTTGTAGACGACAGTGAAAAATCAAAGGTTTGGCCAGTTGGGCACCAACCTCACCAAAAAGCTCCCCGTTGGGTATTTCTAGGATGAATTACCGCAATTCACGTGCGACTTGCTTCCCTCCAATCCCCGTGCGATGTTGAAACTCATAAAGAACTTGCACTGCCACCATCAGTGGGTTGCTTTGCAAGGAGACGATACGCCGGCAGTCCCCGCTCCTGGGGGAGCTGCAGCGAGTAGCCTGGATTCACCCCGTTTACCTGAGCTGGCTCCAGTTCAGCACGCTAAACCCTGTCCGTTACTTCCAGGAGCGCTACTGGGCTGTGTTATTAGTTTATTTCTCTCTCTTTTCCAGCAGATCCGTACGTTAAGGTGAACGTTTATTACGGAAGAAAGCGCATAGCAAAAAAGAAGACTCACGTGAAGAAGTGCACTTTGAATCCTGTCTTCAACGAATCCTTCATTTACGATATCCCTGTCGATCTCCTTCCTGACATCAGCATTGAATTTCTAGTTATTGATTTCGACCGTACCACAAAAAACGAAGTGGTGGGACGGCTGATTTTGGGAGCGCACAGCATCACCGCAGGTGGCGTGGAACACTGGCGAGAGGTGTGTGAGAATCCTAGAAAGCCAGTTGCCAAGTGGCACAGCCTGAGCGAATACTAGCAGAGGTTGCGGCAGCGACAGCCGACTCGTAGAACAGACTTAAACCTTGTTTTAGCTGTAGAACTAAACTTTCGTAAGAAGCAGCAGCTGATTGGTTCTCTAGTGATGTGATTTTGCAGGGCACTAAAATTCTAAAGAGCATTAAGTGAAAAAAAAAAAAGATACCACGAATATATATAACAGTGTAATCACGCTATTGCATGCCTAATACAAACTGAAATTAGTATAACTACCAATATCAAGTTGCAGATTTTAATACAATTATCTGTCACTATGGAAGTTGTGTTTGTGCCGAACTGTCTTTGCTGGTATTCACCAAGATTGGCCTGTCTTTATTAGGCTTCTCCCAAAGTTTCTGAATTCTGCTGTTTAACCTCTAGTTTCTTGTTAGTTTGCCTGCCCATTGGTTCTTGCAGTTCTGTTCTTTGCTGGTTTGGGAGTACCAACCGCATTTCCATAGGAAGGTGGGTTAGAATTCTGCACTAGCGCAAAAGGAAAATACAGGGGAAAATGGCACTTTCCTTCAGAGAAGAAATAATTCTGTTGTCAGGTACTGAAATACTTGCTGTTGCCATGTTCTTGTTGTGGAGCTATACGGTCACAACATCAAACATTTGTATCTAAAATTCAGACACCAACAAACCGATGAGGTGCTTTTGCCACATGGAAGTTAGCACAGGCGTGATCTCACGGACTATCAGAACCGGGGAAACTCCGCTCCATTTCATTTAAGCCTGTCTGTGCATGAAGGGCCCACGAAAAAAACTAAAAAATCATTGATCGGTAAGGGAAACTCTTGCTGATTCTTTTCACGTCAAATGTGAAATTCTACCTGATTGCTGAGTTCTGTTACAAAGGCATAACATATCCGAGACGGGAAAATACCTTGGGGGAAGAGGTTTTAAGTGAAAAAATCGCAAAGCTTCTCTTCATTCATACTTGAGTCAATTCGCATTAGATACGATCTTGTAGTTACCCGAAAGCCAGCTCTCAAAAATGAGTAAACACAGGGCAAAGCCTGTCACTACAAAACGTGTCAAGCGCTTCAAGAAATTAATTTTCAGAGTTTCAGGGCAGCTTGAGTTAGTTCTTAAATTGTGAATGACTTCTGAGACTTAGGATATGCTTACCGTCACCTCTGAAGTGTAAAAACGTTACTTGCCAAGTGTGACCTGTAGCACTTCAGGCTATTAACCCTGAATAGCCAGTAGTTTTGAACAGAAGTTCATAAAGTTCCACGAATAGAAGTGAAGTTTAGAAGTAGCCACGTTAGATCTCACGGTGAACACACGAGCCTACGACCTGGTTTTGTGCGAGACAGTAGCGTCCTCGCAAGGAACTCGATTTGGCTTCTTACTACATTCAAGCCAGGAAAGACCTAAGGGTGACAACTGGCAGCAAGTAATTGATTGTCAACGTTGTTGGTAAACTGAGTGGAAATAGTTACAACAGGCTGTAGAAATTCAAATTATTTCCGAACTCTCCAATGGAAATCTGAAACAGAACTGAGCTTGCACATAGGAGACCGCGAATTTTCAGTGAACGTTTAGTTGCTTCCAGGCAGCCAGTCTGTTCCGTGCCCTGTGGACTGTAAATAATGTATTATAATTACAAAAATTTAAGATCATTTAACTACTTCCAGGAGTTGACTACTGAATTTTAGAGCCCTGTTGGAAAAATGATCCTTTCCACCTTTGTACTAATGAAAGTAGAATAACTGGGCAAGTCTTACTCGGTTTCCTCTCCAGCCACCACGTAAAGCAGCAGCTGCTGGGAGGGCTCTTCGTGCGAACAGTCAGCACTTTGTTAGTTGGCAATACTTTGGCATCTCTTCCTAAGAAATTATTTTTGGAAGGTTGAATTTTCTCACTCGTAGCTAGTTACTCATTGAAACTTCCTTCCAGGCAGAGTCTTTTTAGCAACAGAAGTCGCATTGAAGCCGAAGCTCGCTATTTCTCAGCCTTGCATGGCAGACAGAAGCGTGGACTTCCGTTCCTGCTTCATCGATCCCGATTACGAGGCTTCTGCCTGAGGTTGTAGTAGATTTTATCTTTGTCTTAAATGCTTTCTAGCTCCTGCTCCATTAGTGGCTGCCAGCCACCAACCAGCAAACGAGTTCTCCCTTGGAAATTGGTGTCGATCTGTTTCAATCCTAGTTTTTTGCACTAAGCGATCGTGTTGCTGAAGTTTAGCAACTGTCACGACTTTTCCTCGGAACATGCTTTCCAACACCGCTCCAGACATCTGAATAGGACGTACTAAGAACAACCACCAAGTTCCTTTTTTTCCCCTTCGGTGTGAAAAGCATGCTTAAGCCTAGATGATCTCCTTACGATTCCTTTAGTTGAAAAGGAAAGATGAACTTCTTGTCAAGGAAACATGCTCAGGGTATATAGACTTAGGCTAGCGGGCAGATAGGAGTAGCTCCAACACTCTTCTGGAATAATAGGAAACTGAAGATGTGCAGATATATATTTTTTAAAACATAAAAGAGACAGTAAGAGACAGCGGACTCACTGTAAAATCTCCCAGGTGTGGTTAGTCTTTACCTTGTGTCTTCTATTGTAAAATTAACTTGGACAGTTACAACTTTGTGTGAAAAAAGAAAAAAGGCGAAAAACCTAACTCAACATGTGTGAAACTGCATAATGCTATAAGCTAATCTACATTATGTAATGCTATCTTGTATGTTGAATTTGTTAACGCACATTGAGCGTGCAAATAAAAATTAAATCACTTTAGCTGCTGACTGTGCCATGTTTGACCGCAGGCAACACGTGCGTGACTATGCTGAATACTTTAAGAATTTGCTTCTAAAACCACGCGTTTCTGCTCTGACGATTCACAGGAAAAGAACACACAAAATAAATCACAAAGAAATAAAGGGATGTAACGGCATCCTGGCAAATTAAGTGGAACACTATTACTTAAACATTAGCGCATACAAAAACTCTCAGTCATCTACACAGCCTGGTACATGGGTATAATTTGGCATAAATGGATACTTATTAGCTAAGTTGAATCTAAGTGAAAAAAGAGGACATGAGACGGGCAGAAAAAGCAGCAATTTGACTCTAACATTTGTAATTTAGAGTCACTCCTGGATTCCTGGTCAAAACTGAATTCTCCGGGAACGCTTTTGTCCACCTCGCTGTGTGCAGGATACGACAGTCTCTCCTGAAGTACAGCGATCTGGCTTCTGTGACTTGTTTTTCTGCAGCTCCCCATCAGCGCTGCACAGAACAATATTGCTGGGCACAAAGCCACCGCTTTAGAAAATGCCAAATAGCCGAGCGCAGCGAGCCGTGTTTCCCCAGCAACACGGGCTGCAGTGAGCACTTCAATGCCATACTTCACTCTTCTCGATGGCTTCCCATGCAGCAAAGGCCCGGGCTCCAGAAGTGTTTTGGGTGTCTCAGTACTTACAATGAACTTCACGTGAGCTTCAGGTCTCATCTCCAAGGAACCTGGCAGTTTCGGTCCAGGCTTTATAAAAAAGATGGCCTAATGCCCCAGAAAAGGAACGTGGGCAGCGCCGCAGCTCTTCACACACAACTCTGCACTGGAGGTCGGGGTATCGCAAGCCGTCCGGCCTTCCACACCACGTGTAAAGCGCGCTCTTTGGAGCACGTTTGCACGCCTTCTCTGATACAAATACCCCACAGTTAACATTAAAAACCAACTCTCTCAACTTCACTCTGGGACAAAGATGAAAATGATCAAACCGCAACGGATGCCGTGCCCATCACCAGGCTCGCCAGCGGTGTTCCCAGCTCTTGTAGTGACAGTGAGGAAGGAGTTACTGAGGCGCTCCAGACGTTTAATTAGCTGGACCTGACTCCTGCTCTGGCGATTCAGTTCCACCGCATTGCTCACCAGGGGCAGTTGCTGAAGGTGTTGAATGCACAAAACCATCAGAAGCCGCTGAGATGCTGCAGGTAGTGAGCCACGTGACAGGCACACATCTGAATTCAGTGTCCGATGACTTGGGACAGAGTGGTTTATTTAACACCTATGCTTACTGTTAATTACGTCGTTCTCTGCACTGCGATTGATCGCAGTGTTTCACCGCTTTCAATTATTTATCATGGTAACAACCGCAGTTGTTAGAGCAGTTGGCTAAAACTGCTCGGCCAAAGCGCACAGTCACTGATTATTTTCTACTCATTGTGCAAGATGTGAAAGAAAATCTCTCTTCATCCTTCTCTGCTTGGCTTCTGCCTCTAATGCTGTGTGCCTTTAATAAAACGTCCTGTTTCAGGTTCTTACACCATTCAGCTGAAACAGAAACAAAAGAATTTGCATGAGAAAAAGAAAAAAAGCAAGCAGAATGGGCTTGACAAACCATGAAAAGAGAAATGGTTTTGTGGAGAGCATGGAATCTCGGCTCCAACTCTCTTCCCACCTTCCTTGGGTCTGGATGCTGGTGCCATTTAACTCAGCAGGATTCTGCGTTGCTTTCAGCACAATCAGGTCTTTCCTCCTCCGACAGCTTCTGCCTCACCTAATTCCCCGTAGGAGCGAGTCGTGTTGCCATGGCAATGCGATTCACTTTTGATGGCGGATGCCGGGGCAGGGCTCTTTTGGTATTTCCTTTGAGCAGGCAGAGGCAGGAACAGCTCCATCTCCTTTCCGAGCCCGCAGCCCGCGGGATTGCTCTACGAGGGAAGAAGCTGCCATCAGACAGGTACCTCCAAAGGGCTTCGGAGCGCCCTCGTTTCACCCTTGTTAAAATGCAACAACTGGGTCTCGAGCATTCAACGAGCCACTCCACCCCGTCAGACAGATCACAGGGCCCCAACGCCGTCACTGTCAAAACTTGAAAAGTCTTTTCCGATAACTTGTTAAAGCCAAGCTCGTCCCTCTCGGAGCCTACAGCACCGAAAGCCACCCTGCCTGCACACCGCAGGTCTGTAACCCAGCACCTGCCTGGACGTCTGCGGTGCTGCGTCTGAGCTCCTGGTTTCGCTGCTGTGCTACAGAACGTACGCGATTCTTGGGGAGATACGTTCTCTATTGGGCCAATGGGAAACAGGACAGGAAAGGAAAAACATAGCAAGAAATAAGTAGAACATAAGGAAGTGGCAGACAAGGCAATGCCAAGGGAAAAAAAAAACAAAACACACAAACCCCAAAAAAGCCCCAAATCCCCCCAAAC